GTTAGCAGCCCGAGTGTGTTAACCACTTGCACCACCCAGGGATTCCACATTTGGAGTAGCAAGGAAAAATCTACACTCCTTGGTAGGAGAGCAGACAACGCTCTCCACCCTTACTCTTCATCACACTTTTAACAAAAGGATGGAGACTCAGTTATATTATTTGCAGATGTATTTTCAGAGCCTGAAATAATATCTGAAATGTAAAAGGTGCTCAATAGATGTCTGTCAAATGAGTGAATAAATTAATATTAATTCTGAGCTTCTAGAAAAAGAAGAATAGCAGAATGAGAAATCAGGGGCCCACAGAGACAATCAGAAGAAGAAGAAGAACAACAACAACAACAAAAAGCTTGGGGAGGCAGGAGGTACTAATTTGAGAAAAGGCACCTCAGGAAAGGTTTGAAGTTAAAGATTTAGATAACTGGGCATCAAATTTCAGCCTGGAGGAAAACCGGAGGAGGACCCAGAAACAAGCAAATCTAACTCGCGCAGAAAGTCATTATGTCACGCAACTGTCAACAACTGATTTTCTAGTTGTCACTGTGTACACACACATGCACAGTGGTTTTCTTTCCTCCATATTCCACTAATATCCTGCTTGTGACCTTGTCCCAAGTTGAAAACATGGGGCTTGCCTGCTGATATGATAAAGTCGAGACAAATTCAGATCTGTGCTTGCTCTCAGCTGCTCCAGAGGCAGCCTCGTCAATGAGTGCTCTTCTGTAAACTTCAGGAAGGAAGTGAATGATGTGTCTGCATATCCAGCCAACACAAATCACAGCTGTGTCTGGCATGAAAAGTCCCCCCTTTAATGGGGTGGGAGGCCACCCCTAGGGCAGGGCAGTTTGCTTCCAGCTGGGCTTTGTTTTTGTTTTGGTTGCAAAGTCACCAAGACCTCCGAGAAACAAAGCAACTGAGTTTTTTGTTTTGTTTTAATGAGTCAAACTTGCCAAGGACATGAAGCTGAAGTCTGCCCACAATATTCTTATGCTTCCCTCATATAAAGCCAAAACTTCCAGCCAACAGCTCCGTTTCTTCTCCCAAAAGAGCTAATATTCTCTAGCTCTGTACCCATGACTCCGTTTATAACCTTGGGCTTCTAGAACCAGTGAGGAAAATTGTGCTTATTAAAAGAAATGCTTTACCTTCAAATATCAAGTTTTTGCTTGCTTGCTTGTTTGTTTTCAGGAAGATCATTTAGAAAACGAGGTAAAGAGAATTGCCCTTTCTTTTCTAATGGGGAACAAACATCTGGACTTTCCCCACCTCTGATTTCAGTTTCATGACAACACTGAGCATGTGACCTGGATCCAATTCAGGGGACACTGCAAGAACCCATGGTTTCACCCAAAAATGAGAAGCCCATTTATTTCTCTGTTTCACTGCTTCTCATGACTCCGAGCCCTGCTGGGAGGAAAAGGCTCAGGCCAGGGTCATTTAGAGAAATAAGGCCCTTTCCGCAGAGGGCATGAGTCATTTCTAAGAGGGTGTTCTGAGGAACCAAGCTTGAAGTTCACCTGTTTTTCCAGTCTGAGAAATCTTGAAAGATTTCCAAAATGCCAGCAGAACTGACTTTGAGGGTCCCTATGCATGACCATGTCTGAGGCTTGGAAAGAAGGAGGTTAAAGGAAAACTGTTGCTCTAAATTAGCTTCCATACAGCTCCCAGCTAGGGCTGGCAAATGGGGCACCATTAGGAGTGCAGCAGAAGTCACTGCCAGCTCTGTTCACAATGCCAAGTGAGCGCAGTGCTCTCTGCCCCAAGGGTCCTCCATAAGCCATCAACGACACCGACACCGAGTTTACTCCTCCAGGCCCATCCGGGAAAGTTTCTGAGGCTCACCCCACCTAGAAGGATAGGCCCTATTTGAGCTGTCATTTAATGGACGACCCATTTAGGACTCACTGCTTTCTCAAACATTTCCATGGAAAAGTGACAGCAAGTTTGTTACTAATTCTAATGACAAGCCCAGTGTTTCCAGTGTGCAGTCCTTATGATACATATATATGATATATACATATATGTATCATAAGCTCAGTTACATGAAATAAATGAAACAAACCAAACCATTTCATTTATTTCCTTTTATAGATGTTTGAGTATGGAGATAGGAGTAATGGACAAAGCAAAAGGGCTGGGGATGTTTTGACTGGTCTGGAATTATCTAACTGATCTTAGCCTATTTTTCTTACAAAATTAATCATGGCTGGCCACAGTTCTATAGAGGATGCTTTGGAATACGGTGACCATATCCTAACAGAGCCATCATTTTCCTTTCAACAAAATAAAGACGTGCATCATGACTTTCACTCAGGTTTTCTCAGGGTGAGTTTCAAGATATCCCAAACTGTTGCTCTAAATTAGCTTCCAGGTACACAATTCCCGAACCCCTATCTTCTAAAGTCCTTAACCAAAGGTAGAGTCAGATAGCAAATTTTCAAGAAGAACTTCTCATTAAAACCACATGTTCCCAATTGGCACCATGGCCAACTCTAATACAATCTCAAATGTCTTCTGGAACACATTCAAGTAGGCACCAAATCTCCAGTGAAGCTCACTGAAAAATGTTTCCAAAATGTCCAGAACTTTCAAAGGCCATGTATTTGTGTCCCTTAAGCTGAGACCTAGAATGGACATGAACGCTGTTATAAGCAGAATTATGTCCCCCTAAAAGATATGTCTATGTCCTAACCCCCAGTGCCTGTGACTGTAACCTTATTTGCAAATAGGGCCTTTGCAGATATAATGAAGTTAAGATGAGGTCATTAGGGTGGGCTCTAATTCAATATGACTGTGTCCTTATAAGAAGAGAAGAGATACAGACACACAGGGAGAACACCATGTGACGACGGAGGCAGAGACTGGAGTGAGTGATGCATCCTACATACAAGCCAAGGAATGCCAAGGGTTCCAGCAATGCCAGAAGCTAAGAGAAAAGCATGGAACAGATGTTCCCCTAGAATCTTTAGAGAAAGCATGGCTTTGCTGACACCTTGATTTTGAACTTCTAGCCTCCAGAACTATGAGAGAATAAATTTCTGTTGTTTTAAGCCACCCAGTTTGTGGTACTTTGTTACAGTAGCCCTAGGAAACTAATACAAATGCCTTATCAAGCTGTGACCACTCTCAAAGAGAAAGACATCAGAAAAAGCTATAGAGGCATCCCCTGGGCACCCACAGCACCACATTTTGGAAGACTTGTTAAATCCGACTTGGTAGATGGATTCATTAGGAAGATCCTATGGAATTTAAAATATGCAGACTGGATTTAGAATTAAGTCCAACAATAAGTATAATTCAAAGCTGACAGGAAAAAAATGAAACACTCTACACGGTTTCACAGACGAGGCACACACGTGGTCAGTAAAGATACCTGCTGCACTGTTTCATCTCTCACTCCCCCATCTATCCACCAAATACCTACCGAGCTCCCCCATGTGCCAGGTACTGTGCTCAACACTGGGCATTCAATGCTGGACAAAATTGTTCTGGACTCCCAAGGCCAAAGGAATAACATTTTGGTACCACATTTTTGCTCCTATCACAACCCTTCTTTCCTTACCTTGTCTGCCCAGGACATGCCAGCCTGGTGAAGGAAAACCTGGAGACAAACTCATCCTGACAGCCCCATAATAAGGAGAGTATGGCAGCTTTAAAACATGCCTACAAATTCGCTGACATTCTTCCCACTCAGAGGTATCTGTATCCCCTTCCCTTGAATCTGGGCTGGCCTTAGTAACTTGTTTGTAATCAATAGAATGCCACAGAAGTGATACTGTAATACTTCCAAGGCTAGATCAGAAACAGCAATGTAGCTTCCACCTTGCTTGCTGGGATACTCGCTTTTGGGACTTCGAGCTGTTATGTAAGAAGTCTGGCAACCCTGAGACCACCATGCTGTGAGGGAGCTCAGGCCACACGGAGAAGCCATGTGTAAGCATTCCAGCCAGCAATCCTAGACTTTGAGTCTTCCCAGGCCAGGCAACAGACATATGAGTGAACAAGCCTTCAGATGATTCCAGCCCCCAGCATTGAGTTACCCCCGGCCTTCGAGTTTTCCCAGCTGAGGCCCTGGACTTCATGGAGCAAAGGCATGCTGTTCCTACTATGTCCTTTCCAAATTCCTGAACCACAGAATCCATGAATATAATAAAATGTTGTCTTGGTGCAGTTTGCTATGCAGCAATAGTAACTGGAGCAGATGACCAAACCAAGGGCCAGCACCCTTCTCTCCCCTACATGGGCTATATCCCAATTCCCTCTGCAGCCTCAGGAGCCCTGCCCTGCTCTCACACTAGCAGGGAACTCAGCAAGCCCCTCCCAGATGCTGCTACAAGGCTATGCTACTCACTGTTTCTACAGCTGGCCTTCCCAGCACTCTGTTTCAGGCCCACACTGCCACCACCCTGCCCAAGCCTTAATTGTTAGTAATGCTAGAACCTAAGGGGATGGGAGCTGTTTTTCTGCCACTGCTGGGCTGGAGGGGAACTCAGAGTGCTGTAGAGGATTCCAGGTCTTGGAGGAACAGGATTGCTTGCAACCACCCAGTGTCTCCCCTCCCTTCTTCAGATTTCCTGGGCTGAATAGTCAAATCATATCCCTCTCCTTCCCCTGCTCAGGCACAATGATAGACTCAGAACCAGTTATGGTGAGTATATCCCTAATATATCAATTCTGGAAGGTAGGGCGTGGGGGACTTTGCTTAAACACTCTTCATGCTCAGCCCATCCCCTTAATATGTTGTTTAAGAACATAGACATTGGGGTCAAATCCTGGCTCTATCATTTTCTAATCCTTTGACCTTAGATGACTCACTTAAACTCTCAAACTTCAGCTTCTAATCACCTGAAATGGGGATAACAGTACCTACTTCCTAACGTTGCTGTCCAGATCACAAGGAGGGAATCTACATAAAGGGTCTGGCATGTGATAGGTACTCAATACATTTCAGCAACTTTTAATGATGTCTTCTCTGGGAAGAAGCATCTATCGTGACTTACCCCTTGTAAGACTTGAAAGTTGTCATTGTTGGGCGGTGGGTCTTGATCTGGGTCAACACCAACTCTATAAATCACCAGGGAGAAACACAAGGGAAAAAACAAAAAGTGTTAGCTTGGACTAGGGCAGCCATGTTGCCTGAATATAGCCAAGATGCTGATCATCTCCCCAAAGCAGAAGGAGTGGTTAGCTGAAAGGAGAGGAAGGCCATCATGCAATAGTCATGAGAAAGAGACCCCATACCACACCAGATCCCAGAGGGGTGCTTATACCCTAAACAAGGCCTCTGGAAAATGGCACATGCTAGCAATGGTCCATCTGCCTTCCTAAACCAGATGGCCCCAGTTATCACCATGAGGGTCCCACTGCACTGTTGCTTCTTCACTTCCTCTCTCACCTTCTTTTCTCTAACATTTGATTACAAAATTTTTCATATATGTGGGGAAAAACTGAAAGAATTTATAGAGAACATTTGTATACCCTCCCACCTAGATTCTACCATCAACATTTTACTGTATTTCCTTTATTATATATCTACCATTTCTCTGTCAGTTATCTTATTTTTTGGATGCATTTCAAATAAAGATGTAGACATCAGTACACATTCCCTAAATACTTCAGCATGCTTATCATTAACTAGAGTCCTGTCTGCTTTTAAACCTAGTGCTCCCACATCCTCCTGCAGCAAAGAGAACCTGAGAATTCACATACTTGGGATCAACTACTGAAGACCAAAAGGAAAAAGCAAAGTGGCAAAATCATTTATAACAAATTCCAGAAAATCACCAGGGTAGCTTGTCTTGGCCTAGTAACATGCCAGCTATTGCTCTATGCATCTGTTAACTTTTTATCACTCTACCATCCTCATTCTGAGGCAGAGAACTATAACATAGATAATGGGGGTGATGGGGGAGAAAATAAAAGATGCTAGGCAAGTTCTATACCTTCCCTCACACCCTCCGATGTAGCAAAAATGGACGGTATCCATTTATAATAGCCCCTAAAAAAATAAAATACTTAGGACTAAATATAACCAGGGAAGTAAAAGATCTATACAAAGAAAACTATAAAACACTACTGCAAGACACCAAAAAAGACCTACATAAATGGTAAAACATCCATGTTCGTGGATAGGAAGACTTAACATTGTGAAAATGTTAATACTACCCAAAGCGATCTATAGATACAATGCAATCCCGATCCAAATTTCAACATTCTTTGAGATGGAAAACCTAATCATTAACTTTCCACGGAAAGAGGCCTCGGATGAGTAAAGCACTATTGAAGAAAAAAAGCAAAGTAGGAGGACTCGCACTACCTGACCTCAGAACCTACTCTACATCTATGGTAATCAAAACGGCCTGGTACTGGTAAGACAACAGATACACTGACCAATGGAACAGAATTGAGAACTCAGATGTAAATCCATCCACCTATGGTCACCTGATCTTTGATGGGGAAAAGACAGTCTTTTTAACAAATGGTGCTGGTGAAACTGGATGTCCATCTGGAAAAAAAGGAAACAGGACACATACCTCACACCACACACAAAAACTGATTCAAAATAGATAAAAGACCTAAATATAAAACCAAAAACTATAAAGATCACAGAATAAAAAATAGGGTCAATGCTAGAGGCCCAAATACATGGCATTAATAGCGTACAAACCATAACTAACAATACACAAACACCAGAAGATAAGCTAGATAACTGGGATCTTCTAAAAATTAAACATGCTCATCAAAAGACTTCACCAAAAGAGCAAAAAGAGAACCTACAGACTGGGAAAAAAATTTTACCTATGACAAATTTAACAAAGGTCTAATCTCTAAAATCTATACGAAAATCCAACACCTCTACTACAAAAGACAAATAATCCAATTAAAAATGGGCAAAGGAAAAGACCAGACTTAATGGTCTGACTGAGACTGGAGGAACCCCAAAGCCATGGCCCCCAGATGCTCTGTTAACTCAGAACTAAAACATTCCCAAAGCCCACTCTTCAGACAAAGATTAGACTGGACTATAAAACATAAAATAATACTCATGAAGAGTGTGCTTCTTAGTTCAATCAGATACATGAGACCAAATGGGCGGCTCCCATCCAGAAGCAGGATGAGAAGGCAGGAAGGCACAGGAGCTGGCTGAATGGACACAAGAAACCCAGGGTGGAAAGGGGGAGTGTGCTGTCACATTATAGGGATTTCAACTAATGTCACATAATAATATGTGTATAAATTTTTGTATGAGAAATTAACTTGAGCTGTAAACTTTCACCTAAAGCACAATAAAAAAAACTGGCAAAGGATATGAACAGACACTTCACCTAAGAAGACATTCAGGGAGTTAACAGACACGTGAGGAAGTGCTCGAGATGACTAGCCATTAGAAAAATGCCAATCAAAACTACAATGAGATACCATCTCACCCCGACGTTACTGGCACAAATCAAAAAAATGGAAAATAACAAATGCTGGAGAGGCTGCGGGGAGATTGGAACTCTTATGTACTGCTGGTGGGAATGTAAAATGGTATAACCATTTTGGAAAATGATATGGAACTTCCTTAAAAAGCTAGAAATAGAAATACCATACGATCCAGCAATCCCACTCCTAGGAATATATCCTAGAGAAATAAGAGCCGTCACATGAATAGACATATGCATGCCCATGTTCATTGCAGCATTATTCACAATAGCAAAAATATGGAAACAACCTAAGTGCCCATCAACAGATGAATGGATAAACAAACTATGGTACATACACACAGTGGAATACTACACAATAAAGAACAATGATGAATCTGCGAAACATCTCACAACATGGATAAATCTGGAGGGCATTATGCTGAATGAAATAAGTCAATCACAAAAGGGCAAATACTCTATGAGGCCACTAGTATAAAAACTCATGAAAAGGTTTACACACATAAAGAAACAATCTTTGATGGTTATCAGGGAGGGGACGGATGGGAAGGGAAAAACACTAACTAGACAATAGACAAGTGGTAACACTGGTGAAGGTTAAGACAGTACACAATACTGGGGAAGCCAGTACAACCTGACCAAGGCAAGGTCATGGAAGCTTCATAGACACATCCAAGCTCCCTCAGGGACCAGGTTTCTGGGTTGAGGACCATGGTCTCGGGGGACATCTAGCTCAACTGGCATAACACAGTTTATAAATATTCTACATCCTACTTTGGTGAGTAGTGTCTAGGGTCTTAAAAGCTTGTGAGTGGCCATCTAAGATACTTCACTGGTCCCACCCTGTCTGGAGCAAGGGAGAATGAAGAAAACCAAAGACACAAGGGAAAGATTAGTCCAAAGGACTAATGGACCACAACTACCACAGCCTCCACCA